TGGATGGATGGATGGATGGATGGATGGATGGATGGATGGGTGGATGGATGGATGGATGGCTGGATGGATGGATGGGTGGATGGATGGATGGATGGGTGGATGGATGGATGGATGGATGGATGGATGGATGATGGATGGATGGATGGGTTAAGTGCCTTTCTGGTGAGCAGATTGTTGTGTGTTTGGGACTCATAATGGTCTTGTACTTCTTGTTTGCTGACAGAAATACAGGATGTATTTTGGTTTTGTGCTATAAATAGTTGTTTCATGAGAAATCTGTCATTACAAAGCTCTTCAGAGAGTCACCCAAATGAATGGACAGTAACGAGGCAGGGGTGGGGGACAAGGGACATACCAATTGGTCTCAGGCTGTAAATAATCTCTTTATTCAAACAAATCTGGGCCATGGTAATTATTTTCCAGTGGATACAAAGGGGATGAACAGAATAGGAGGTAGAGTGGGGCAGGTGTGGGTGGGCTGCCTTGTTAACAACATTCTCTGAAATTATGTTTAGCATTTTCTGTGTCTCTGTTTATATCAAATATACTTAGAGGCAGAAGCGCCATTCATTCAGTTATTGTTAAAGCATTTACTTCACTGGTTCATTTAAATACTACCAAGACCACTGTGAGGGGGGATGGGTCAGGGTGGGTCACTGAACTTTTAGTTATTTTTATCTTCAGATAAAACACCCAGATCTCATTTTTTCCTCAAACATGTTCATCATGGTTCTGATTTTAGAAAAACTTTACACTTAAACTTTCAGCTGAGCTAAAATAGTAAATATAAACAGTTGTGTTTTTGTGTGTGGATGAAATGGTTTTGAAATGAATTTGAACACAATTGATGAATATTTAACAGCTGTATCATTCAACTGTTAATTCCACTGTGTTTTTCGCTGCAGGGGACTCTCCAGGCTCTGTGACTTTTGACATCCTGAAGGAGGATTCTGCAGTGGTGGAACAGGCAAATGTTTGGATCTTCCTAAAGATGACAAGGATGAATCGGGTTAAAGGCAAAGTGATGCTGCGGTTGCTGCAGACTCATCAAGATGCACTTTCAGATGAACAATGTATTTCAGAGAAGATGGTAGATACCCATCGCAGTGGCTGGCACACGCTTGTCATCACTGGCAGTGTTCAGGCGCTGTTGAAAGGTGGCAGCAGTTTGCTCAGCCTTCGAGTTTCTTGTCCACTATGCACTGAGGTTGGAGTTGTGCCCATCCTGGCACCTGCCAATGACAAGAAACTGATGAGAAGGGATCAGTCTCACCGACCCTTCCTGATGGTGATGCTTCAAGCTGAAGAAGAGTCTCAGCGGCGAGTCAAGCGAGGTCTGGAGTGCAATGGGAAGGTCCATGTCTGCTGCAAACGACAATTTTATGTGAACTTCAAAGATATTGGCTGGAGTGACTGGATTATAGCTCCATCTGGGTACCACGCCAACTACTGCGAGGGCGACTGTCCCAACCATGTGGCGAGTATCAGTAGCTCATCGCTCTCCTTCCACTCAGCAGTGATCAACCATTACCGCATGAGGGGCTATGGACCCTTCCAAAATACCAAGTCCTGCTGTGTGCCAACGAGGCTTCGGGCCATGTCCATGCTCTACTACAACGAGGAGCAGAAGATAATCAAGAAGGATGTCCAGAACATGATTGTGGATGACTGTGGCTGCTCATGAAAGGCTTCTCAAGAGACTAAAAATCACTGAAAACAACTAGCTGCTTTCAAGGAAACTTCCCACCAGCCCTTTAAAGTCCTGAGTTCTTATTGACCTGATGCTTCTCCACATGATAAGAAAACAGTTATGCAACAGACCCCGCTAACAGGTCCGAACCTGTCATCTATTCAATAGAACAGGCTTATTCGGAGGTCCCCAACCCTGGTCCCTGTGGCCCATTGTCCTGCATATTTTAGCCATTTCTCTGCTAAACCCTAACCTTAACCCTACTTAGAATACCAACAAGTTTAAGAGAATCCAAACCCTGTCCAGCAGGTCAATATGTGGACCACAAGGATCTGGTTAGGAAGCTTTCAGCTAACTGTTCAGCAGACTCAGTAAATTTTGTATTGGTTCTTGAAAGCCTGTTTATCACAAATTAGTTCCTCTGAAAGGTCAAACGTGTGTCAAATATCTTTGTTGTTGAGATACTTGAATAAAATATGTTTATCCTGCTGCTGGAGCCAAACATCATCATCATCATCTTTATTAAATAAGGAGGTGAAGATGTGAATGCAGTGATGAATCTTAGCAATGGTTTCTCTCGGTTTTAGGAGAGGAGATTCAGGTGGAAACCAAAGACAAGCCTGATGATGAAAGTTTGGTTCATCTTTCTGAGACCCTCATGAACTATGAACAAAAAAACTAAAAAAAATTAGTTATGTTTTTTTGTTTTAGTATTAAATAGTTGGTCAATACTTGATCATGTGTTTGTTTCTTTTAAAGATTGTTTTATACAATGAGACAAACTGTTATTAATGTCTATAGCATCACATTGTCAGATAAAGCATCTGACTGTTCCCTGAGTCTTCACTCAGCTTCTGTCCATTTCAGAGATTACATTGGGTCTGAGCTACTTTTTCATGTCCACAAAGACAGGAACCTGACTCAGGTTTTTGTTTGCAGGTAAAAAAAAAGGGGTCATTAATATTCAATTTGTTGTGGTTAATGTCCCTATTTCCAACAACTAGAAAGTGAGAGAAAAAGTACACCCTATCCCACTGAAATCTTCCTAATTCTACCCCTTTTACAAGAACTGCCAGCTCATTTAGTCTCTAAACTGCACCCACGTCTAATGTTATCAAGTGCTTCAATGGTCATTTGGAAAGGTTCAGATGGAAATGATTATTAAAGAGGACATATTGTGGAGGTCAAAATCCACTTTTGATGTGAACTTGGAGTCTGCAGAAAATTTGAATTTAGTCTCTCCTGGGGCTGGACTTGTTCAGTTCTCTCTATTTTCTATGACATTTTCTGAACTATTATAACAAATTATTTGTGACAGAACTGCCAAATAGGTTCTGGATTTACCAAGTACAATTTGGTGGTCTTCATTCTCCTCTGGTTCTGGCTCAGATGCTGGCTCCAACATGTAAGGCTGAATGGACAAGTCTTTTGTTTTTAATTAAATTGTAAAGAAACCATTTCTGCACAGCTAGAAAACTGTAACCACCTCTCTCAAACTGGAATGGACTGGTCTGGGAGCTGGAGGAGGAGGGGTCTGAAGCGCCCCTAAAGGAACAGTATTTAAACGAGTTGCTTTGAGACACACCTCAGGAAATGGGTGAAAGAGGAGCTGGTAAAGTTAGAATAAAGAGGAATTTAGACCAAAGCTTTGTAGTTCCATTTTATGGACTCAAACTGAATGATTTTAATGTGAAAATGAAGGATTTAAAAGAAACACATGTCCACTTTTAGGGACTAATTAAAGAACTCAGAATCTAGTTTTTGAGAAGCATTTCACACTGAGCTTTTCAGGTGTTTTTTGTAATATTTGTACTTGTCCAGTGAATTGATTATATTTGTTACAATAAACTAGAAACACTTTTGTACAGAACAATCTGAAAATTGTTATTTGGTAGAAATCCATTAATAGAACAAAGGAACTATAAGTCTAAAATGCTCTAACGTAGATCTTAAATGAGATGGTAAATTCAGGGTTCATCATGAAACATGTCTAGTTTACCTAATGTAACATCTAAACCGGTTTCTATTTTAAATAGGATCATTTAAATTTCATAAACTCTGTGCCATTGACCACAAACACAAGGTTTTAAGGGAGAAGCTGAACTTGTATTGCAGTCAAAAGATAAATACAAAAGATTTATTGTACAAACAAATCTATAGAAAAAAACAACTTTAGTTATAAAGGCCTTTCAGTTCCAGTTCAAACCAACAAACAAACCAACAAACAAACAAACAAACAAACACCCAATATGTTCAAAAGTTAGAATCTATAACAGTTCATTCAGAGTCCACACTTCCCACAGACTCACAAACGGGTAAATCTTCACAAACAAGGTTCTTGTGTCAAAGGTAGCACGTCATCATGTTCCACAGGAATATGATGACGTGCTACAAAAATCTGACCTATAAAGAGGTCGTGTTTCCTGATGTATTAAATAAAATTATTTGTAATGGCACTATGGCTCAGACTCTGGATTTTAGACTGAAGATTTGACTTTGTTACTGCCAACCTCTGGTTAACATATCAAGTTAACCTAACTTGTATGTTTTGGACTGTGTGAGCTTTAAACTCTACATTTTAAACTCTACATTTTAAACTCTACATTTTAAACTCTACATTTTAAACTCTACATTTTAAACTCTACATTTTAAACTCTACATTTTAAACTCTACAT